CAGTCTGCTCTTCTTCCTCTTCGGATTCCTTGCTGTCACTCTGGGGAGGAACGTCCCTGACAACTTATTTAATTTCCTCCCACTGGGGGCTCCTCAAAAGTCCAGTCCTCCATGTTAAGGCAACACAACCAAAAGCCGCTTCAAATAGGGCATTGCCCTTTATTTTCAGCCCTGACAATTAGAATCACTCCCACCAGTGAATCAACTTGAGATGTAGTTGATTAACTTACCGATCAAAGCTTTTACCACGATGAATGCCGTGTGTTTATATATGAATCTCTCTCTCTCTCTCTCAGTGTGCATGTGTATTTTGGCGAATGAATATTAAGACACCACACTGTGCACAGCCGGCTGCTGCTGACCTACGTGTCGCCCTGTTGATAACATATCTGTGGGACCATTATGTTTTCCTAGTACATCTCTAACCAAAGGAACGGTCAGCCTTATTTGGTTTTTAATGAGCGGGAAACAGGCTGTCGAAAAGCAAATGAATGCAAAGTACAGCCAGGCAAGGCCTGGCCTTCAACGGTGTGTAATGGTGGAGAGAGGGAGGGGCTTGCAAAGTGAGGATGGCTGTGCTATGAGAACAGCCAGATTACGACCTCTAAAGGCCCTAAAGATTATGGGTCCTATGCTTAGCAGAGAAACCAGGAATGAGCTGACTTCAGGCTGGTCCAACAATGCTTTGTTTTTAACTCCAACCCCCCAAATCAACCACAGCCAGGCACAGGGCTGGATCATAGGTTTGATGAGGCCCTCAACTACTGAAGGTAATGGGGCCCTTTATATGTCCAGCTGTCCTTTGTCAACAACAAATTGTCACTTGTTTTTGTGTTTAATATATGCTATATGGTAATTTATGGACCTAATAGGTATCTAAAGCTATTTGAACATAACAAAAATATGTATTTTATCAAAGTAATTGTTGAAAAGTCCATGCAGAATGTAGGCACCCTATATATAGAAATGAGCAAACCAGTGATAGTTTAGGGAGCAGGCTAGCAGGTGGGGCCCATTACGTACACCATAGGAGCCTACACAACACAAAACACTGTTGTTGTATGTAGGTTTTATTTTATTTGTCTTTCATCTTATATTTTCGAAATGTACAGTTTTTTTCTTTTTTGGGGGGGGGACCCCAAGAGTGTGGGGCCCTAAGCTATAGCTTGTTTAGCTTATTCGTAAATCCAGCACTGGCCAGGCACCAATTTTAGAATTCAAAAAAGATGGACACAACAGCCTGCCCACGTCAGGTCTCTACTTCCAACATGCAGACAGAGGCAATTTCATTGCTGAACTTAGGCTGTTTGTAGCCACAACATTTCAATAGTTGTTATTTAAGTTTCTATACTGGCAACATTAAAGCCGGAGGAGGGGGGGAGGAAAATCCATGGCAACAAACATTAGAAGATCAACAATAAAATTGCATTAGGGGGAAAAATAGCCAATGCATCCTAAATTAGTATTTTATTTATTTGTGAAAATAAAAAAGTTTTTATTTATTTATTACATTTATACTTATTTATTACATTGATACCTTGCTTTTCCTTCGAGGTGCTCAAGGCAGCATCAAGGTGCTCAAGGCGAACCATTGAAATTAATGGACATGACTAACAGGTTTCTTGATTTCAATGAGTTTTCTCTAAGTAAGCTTAGGTGGCGACAACCCTGTACTTTCTCACTGGGGTGGACTAAGCAGAGCGGTACTGCCTCTGTTGGATCTGAGAGAAGAGCTTTAGCTTATACAGTGGTACCTCAGGTTAAGTACCTAATTCGCTCCGGAGGTCCGTTCTTAACCTGAAACTGTTCTTAACCTGAAGCACCACTTTAGCTAATGGGGCCTCCTGCTGCTGCCACGCCGCCGGAGCATGATTTCTGTTCTTATCCTGAAGCAAAGTATTTAACCTGAAGCACTATTTCTGGGTTAGTGGAGTCTGTAACCTGAAGCGTATGTAACCTGAAGCGTATGTAACCCGAGGTACCACTGTACCATCTCTTTGACCAGCATAATGTTATTTTATTCCTCCATCTTCTCTCTGAACAACAACAACAAAAACCCTAATCATTGTAGCATTTCCTCATAGAAAAACTACCTCAGCCTTTTGGTTGCCCTTTTCTCCACCGCTTGCAGCTCTGCCATTCTCCCCTGAGAGTCATATCCTCTAAGAGTTCATAGATGAAAATAGAGATTTCTCTCATCATGGGCCGCTCTGCCTCAGCAACTGCCCTCTCTTCCACTGTCATGAACTGATCTTCCCTGTCTCCACTACACAATAATATCCTTTCCTTAAGAACAGCAGAAAATCCCTGCTGGATCAAGGCAAAAGGCCATCTAGTCCAGCAAACTGTTTTCACAGGGGCCACCAAAATGCCTGTAGGAAACCCGCAAGCAGAGCCTTAGTACAAAAGCCCTCTCCACACCTGCTGTCCCTGACAACTGGTATTCAGAAGCATGGACTATTGTGGCTAGGAAGCATTGATAGTTGTGGGCATCTATGAATTTGTTCCAACCTCTTTTAAAGCCATCCAAGTTGGTGGCCATCACTGTCTCCTGTGGGGGGGCCCAAGTTCCATAGTTTTAACTGTGCGCTGGATGATGGGATTTGTAGTCCAAATGCAGCTGGAGGGCCACAGGTTCCCCAATCTCTGGTCTACAAGATCTCCAGCCAGGGAAGATCAACCTGGCCTGGTTAAAAAAAATGCCCTCCACATTTTTATCGCCTAGAAGCCCCTCATCTTCCTTTTCCCTCAACTCCGCTTTTCCCTTGTGTGCCCCATCTGTTTAGTTTGCAAGCCTGACTCCTGAACATCTCTCTTGTTTCTGGGAGACAATAAGCAGGATTTTTTTAAAACATTAAAGAAAGGAAGAAATGCAAAGAGCGGTGCCCCTTAATGCAACTCTGTGATGGGTGCCAAGGGTGTATAAATTAACTTGAGATACAATAAACATTTATCAGCCAATTAGCTCTTTGGCAATTACTCTGACACCAATCCACACTTCCTACCAAACTGCGGAACCTGCTGTGTTTAAAAAGACAACAACAACCAACTAAAGGTGGGTGGGCAAGGAAAGAAGGCTGTGGATCAGTAAAGCAAGCAACTCTCCAACCTTGTCTGAGGAACCATACCCTTGGTGCCTCTCGTTACAGATGATGTCATTCGTAACCTAGGCTATAATCTACAAAATGCAAAAGGTATGTTGTTGTTGTTTCCATAGCACAGCTCTTTGCTTTTCACTTTCTCAAGCAGAATGAAATTCTGGGTGCAGCTCTGTTGTAGGGGGAGAGAGTACAGGGGATTTACAGAGCCAGTGTGATGCTTATTTTCAGATGCACAGATTGTGCAGGTAGGAAGCAAGCATGATGATGGTGGTGGTGGTGATTTATAACCACCTGTCTTGGAAGGTTCAGCATACATGAAAGGAAGTACCTGTTTACTAGTTTAATGGCTAGTTAAACTATGGAACTTGTTCCCACAGGAGGCAGGGATGGCCACCAACTTGAATGACTTTAAAAGAGGATTAGAGAAATTCATGGAAGAGAAGGACATTGATGGATACTAGCCGTGATAGCTATGTTCTGCCTCCACAGTTGGAGGCAGCAGTGCTTTTGAATACCAATTGGTAGAAACCACAGGAGGGGAGAGTACTCTTGTGTTTGAATCCTGCTTGTTAGTTTCCCACAGGCATTTGGTTATTCGCTGTGAGAACAGGATACTGGACTAGATCCATCAGGCAATATTAGTCCATCAACTCCACAGATTCAGTCTTGTCTCCTAAGCCCCCTTTTTAATACAGTGGTACCTTGGTAATCGAACGCCTTAGTTGTTGAACAAATCGGCTCCTGGACGTCGCAAACCCGGAAGTGAGTGTTCCGGTTTACGAATGTTTATTGGAAGCAAAACGTCCGACGTGGCTTCCGGTTGGCTGCAGGAAGCTCCTGCAGCCAATTGGAAGCTGCGCCTTGGTTTTTGGACCATTTTGGGAGTCGAACGGACTCCTGGAACTGATTAAATTCGAGAACCAAGGTACGACTGTATTACACTCTGCAGCTTGGAAGGTGGTGTGATTTGATGTCAAAGTAGTTGCTGAAGAGATAACAGAGGTTTGTGTTGTTTTGACCAAACAGATGGAAATATGACAGGCAGTGGGGACTGGTTCGTTGGGGTGAATGGGGCATTGCCCTATCAACTTCAGTCTGCCCTAAGCCAGCCCTCACCTGCCTGCCTTCTTATTTACAAGCCAGCCAGGGAATTTGTTCTATGGCTCTACCTACTGCTGATCTCTCCAGGCATCACTGGTGAGAGGGTTGTTTGCCGTGGAAAAGCAGTGGGTGAGAAGGGATGCTTAATCCTTCCCCTTCCACCACTTCCTCCTGAAGCCCTTCCCACCAGTTGCATTTACCCTGAGTTGGAGTTCCAGACACATCTTTTGCCATGTTGCAGGGAAAGGGCAAAGGAGGTGTCAGGGAGGTAAGCAGAGTCAGCAGGGAGATTTGAGCACCCTCTTCCCTGCATTCTCTGCTCCACGTTGCCCTTCACCTCCCCTCTTTTCAGCTTTTCTGGCAGGAACCTAGGCAGCCTGATTTTTTGCTCCATCACAGAACGTGTTATTCTGCCTGCCGTCAAATGTGACTTTCTCCCAAGTAAGTAAGTAAGTAAGTAAGTAAGTAAGTGCGGGCAGGATTTCAGCTTCAGTGCCAGCATTTAATGCTCTGTAAGATCTGCCCTCGGAGGGATTCTCGCAAATTGTTGCAAAAATTCACTGAACATGACATCTGACGCCTGTTGAGAGTGCTGGAAAGCAGCCTCCCTCGGCTGGCTGGCTCAGGAAGCGATGCATGCAGAAACAGCTGACTGGAGAGCTGATGGGGAGAAGGGGAGACAGCTGGGATACAATATCATGAGGTGGTTGGTTGTGCCTCTGCCTTCCCAAGCAACACAAGAATCAACCTGCAGTGGCGGCATTAAGCCCAGTTCATGGAACAGGAGGAGAGGTTAAGGCTGTAGCTCAGTGGTAGAGTGCCTGCTTTGCATGCACAAGGTCGCAGGTTCAATCCTGGCATCTCCAGGTAGGGCTGCCCAAAACCACAGAGAGCTTCTGCCAGTCAGTGTAGGCAATGCTGAGCTAGATAAGCCAATGGTCTGTCTCTGTAGCTTCCTATGTTTGTGTGTTCCCTGACTGAATATGTGGAATTATTGCATTAGAAAAGCACCATGGTAGATGCTACAAAAAGGATCTGAAAGTCCTGGGTGACTGATCCGCTGTGAGTCCTTCTCACATGCAAATTCCTGTGCAGAGCTTCTGCCAGTCAGTGTAGGCAATGCTGAGCTAGATGGGCCAATGGTCTGACTCTGTATTACAGGCATAGGCAAACTCGGCTCTCCAGATGTTTTGGGACTACAACCCCCATCATCCCTAGCTAACAGGACCAGTGGTCAGGGATGGTGGAAGTTGTAGTCCCAAAACATCTGGAGGGCCGAGTTTGCCTATGCCTGCTGTATAAGGCAGCTTCTTATGCTTCCATCCTCCAAACTAACAGGTAGCATAGAGTGAGACTAAACAGACAGTTCTCCCAATGGAGGGATATAGCAAGCGGAATCCCACAGTGATAAGTCTTACGCTTTGAAACTCCTTCATAAATTATCTAGAGTTAGGGTGGAGCAGTGAGATAGCCACGTTTGCTGGTAAATTGTTCATGGTGGATAAAACAAATAAGGAGGGGGATTGTGAAGAGAGCTCTAAAAGAGCCTCTCCAAACTCAGTGAACGAGCAGTAAGATGGCAAATGCAAATTTTAAGTAAGGAAGTTTAAAGTGATGCAGGTTGGGGTAACCCCTGGGTGGACTCGAACCACCAACCTTCTGGTTAACAGCCAGATACACTGACCTGTTTCATCAGGCTTCCTCAACCTCGGCCCTCCAGATGTTTTTTTGGCCTACAACTCCCATGATCCCTAGCTAGCAGGAGCAGTGGTCAGGGATGATGGGAATTGTAGTCTCAAAATATCTGGAGGACCGAGGTTGAGGAAGCCAGTCTTTCACCCTGCCTCGATTTCACATATATGCTTATAGGGTCTGAGCTGGCAATTACTGACCAGCAATGAGACCTGGGGGTTGTAGTGGACAGCTCGATGAAGATTTCAGCCCAGTAGGTGGCAGCTGTGAAAAAGGCAATTATGCCACTATCATAATGCTCTACAGTGGTACCTCAGGTTACAGACACTTCAGGTTACAGACGCTTCAGGTTACAGACTCCACTAACCCAGAAATAGTACCTCGGGTTAAGAACTTTGCTTCAGGATGAGAACAGAAATCATCTTCTGGCAGCACAGTGACAGCAGGAGGCCCCATTAGCTAAAGTGGTGCTTCAGGTTAAGAACGGACCTCCGGAACGAATTAAGTTCTTAACCCGAGGTACCACTGTACAGTTATGCATGGTGTCGAGAAAATGGTTCGAGGAAGGTTTTTCTCCCTCAGAACGCTAGAACTCATGGACATAGCAAAAGGCTGGACACTGGAAGATTCAGGACAAATTAAAGTACTGCTCCACACAGTGCATAGTTATGCTGTGAAATTCCCTCCCACAGGAGGCAGTGAAAGTTGCCAACTTGGATGGCTTCAAGATAAATTCATGGAGGATAAGGCTATCAGTGGCTACTAGCCCTGAGGGCTAGGCTTTGCCTCCACCATCAGAGTAAGCAATGCTTCTCAATGCCATAGGAAACCATAGGAGGGGGAGAGTGCTGTTCTGCTCGGGTCCTGCTGGTGGGTTTCTCATAGCCACTGTGAGAACAGGATGCTAGGCAAGATGGGCGTCTGGCCTGATCCAGCCTATTACAGTGGTACCTTTGTTTGCTAACGGGATCCGTTCCGGAGCCCCATTCGCAACCTGAAAGGAACGCAACCTGTGTCTGCGCATGTTGAGATTCGCTGCTTCTGCGCATGCGCGTGACGTCATTTGGCACATCTGCGCATGCGCGAGCGGTGAAACCCGGAAGTAACCCTTTCCGGTACTTCCGGGTCGCCGCGGGACGAAACCTGAAAAGACGTAACCTGAACCAAACGTAACAAGAGGTATGACTGTATTATGTTCTCATGTTCTCATCTGCCTCTGTTGGGCATAGGTTTGAGTAGACATGGTTAAGAATGCATTGTGAGTAGTGATGGTTGAGTCTTGTCAGTTTTGGTTTCTCATTTTTCTGATGTCAAGCTCAGTTCTCCGCATTAGCTTGCAGATATTCATTCATTCTTTTCTTCTTCTTTTTGAGTTTTATTTATTAACGTTCTTATGTTACATCGGTAAACATTATCATATTACATCACAAGGCTTATTATAATATAATTTTCAGCATGTATGCAAAGTTTATATACCTAAAGAAAAGAACCAAGGACAAAGATCTATTCCAAAATCATATATGTACCAACACTTTGGATTTCCTGTCTATCCCGTTATATATTCCTTTTTTTTTACAAATGAATGTACTCTTATTATTGTATATTTATTTACATTTTATCTAATACATTCCTATATCAATATGTACCCTTGGTCTTATTTCTCAACTCAGTCTCTCTCCAACGTCAATCGAATGCTAGCATAGATAGCGAACCTTTACTGTATTTTGGAACATATATCTATCCCACTTTTCCATAAAATTTTGTTTTGAATTGCCTCTCAGGCTGTCAACTGGGTATTCATTCATTCTTTGAAAAGTCCCCATGAATAGTGCAGTATAGACATTTTTATGCACGAATGAATATTTGAAGCGAGTCCTTTATTTGAAGGCCTGCCTGATCTGGAACCCACAGCAGGGGAGTGTGCCATTGCATGGGGGTCCTGCTTTCAGGTTACCCACAGGCATCGAGTTGGCAACTGTGAGAACAAGATGCTGGAATAGATGGGCTATTGGCCTGATCCTGCCGGGCTCTTCTGATGTCCTTAGAATCTGAGAGAGCCTGCTTTGAATCCCCACTCAGCCATGAAGCTCGCTGGGTGTCCATGGGACAGTCATTGTCTCTCAGTCTCACCTACCTCACATATCGTAATAATTAGAATGATTAATAATATACTTTATTTTTAACATTGGCAGCACAAAAGCTGAACCACTCTGTTCCCCACTCCCTGCAAAACACATTTCCTTCAGGTTTGTATTGTATTATTGTCTGCAGAAGTGTAGCTGTGCATCTCCGGCATGGCCGGTGTTAGTCCTGCTCAGAGTAGACCCATTTTAATTAGTTGAATATTGCCTATTGAAGTTTTGGTGCCAAGGAGGGGAATGAGACAGTTGTGGGGGATGCTTTAGGGGCCAAAATAACATGGCTGGCCTTGGGTACTCAATACACCTAGATCAGCCTTTCTTAACCTGTGGGTCCCCAGATGTTGTTGAACTACAACTCCCATCACCCCTAGATAGCAAGGCCTTAGCTCAGGGATGATGGGAGTTGTAGTCCAACAACATCTGGGGACCCACAAGTTGAGAACAGCTGACTTAGACTAAGGTAGCAGTACCATTTGCTGCTCTACCTTAGCAAAACAAGTTGGGCTATACCCAGCAGTGGCTGGCACCTGCCCATTAGAACTGGTTGGACAAAAGGCAGGGAGGCCAACAGTAGGTGGCGCCAGAGCTGATGACAGAGAGAGCCAGCTGATTCTGGTTTTGTCCCCATCCTCCTTCTGAGGCTGATTGAAGACAACTTGCCCAAAGGTCTACCAATGCTGAAGCCAAATAGCTTTCTCCTGTACCTTCTTCCAACTCTCCATTCCTCTTTCCAAATCTGCTTGTTTCTTATGAACTAAATCCCTTCCCCTGACAGCATTGCCCCCTTGCAGACATGGTGGAGTTCCCCCATGCACCAATGTTTTTAAGTGTTGAGGGAGAAATACGCCATGTGAGCTTCTCCAGGACTTTGATCCAGTTTCTGGCAGTTACTCCTAGTGTGGCAGCAACAACGGAGGGGAAGAGAGGGGGAGGGGAGATCGAGTCAACTCATCAAAAACAAATCTAATTAACCTGCAGCATAATCTCTTAATTTGTGGAAAGTCACTGCAGCCACTCAGCTAGAACCAGCCTGTCCACAACACTGGCTGGTGAGCAAATGGCAGCGGCGCAGCCACCGTGAACACTCTGTCCATGCTCAAGTGCCTTCTGTTTGCCCTCAAGTGCTCCCAATTTTGTACAGCTTGTTCCAGTGGCTGCCTCCATCTGGCATCTCTGTGGGAGACATAACATCAAGCACCGGCCTTTCCCATGTGGTAATCCCTTCTGATTGTATGGCTGTGTGGGTGTTTTGGCTCAGTCTTGCATCTTTCAGCTTCCAATTTTTATGATCTAGCAATGTGAGTTTTCTGCTCTGGTTTTTTTAGCTAGCTGTTCCCTACCCTCGTACCCTTCTTAGGGTATCTTTCAGCTTCATAGCACGACTCCAGCCATGTGTGGTGTAGTGGTTAAGAGCGGTGGACTCGTAATCTGGGGAACCGGGTTCACGTCTCCGCTCCTCCACATGCAGCTGCTGGGTGACCTTGGGCTAGTCACGCTTCTCTGAAGTCTCTCAGCCCCACTCAACCTCACAGAGTGTTTGTTGTGGGGGAGAAAGGGAAAGGAGAATGTTAGCTGCTTTGAGACTCCTTCAGGTAGTGATAAAGCGGGATATCAAATCCAAACTCTTCTTCTTCTTCAATCAGGAATCACATAGGATGCTGTCGCAATGCTACATACTAGCCAATTCGATTCGGCTATGTGCCGATGCCACTGTACAGAGCCGACTGCAGTAGAATCATAGAATTGTAGACTTGGAAGGGACCCTAAGAGTTATCTAGTCCAATCCCTGCAATTTAGGAATCTCAGCTAAAGTATCCTTGACCAATGGCCATCCAACCTGTGTTTGAAAACCTCCAACGAAGGAAAGTCCATCACCTTACGAGGAAGTCCATCCCATTGTCAAACATCTCTTATCAACCAAATACACAGTTGGCTCCTCCTTCTGACTTTTGCTTAATGTCTAGAGATAGGGTAGGGTTGGAGTCACATAGCACATGTATGGTGCATTGGGGATGAGGTCAGTGGCATGGCACCAATTCCTCCCAGGTGCTTACAGCTCAACATTGGTTTTCCAAAAGAGATGGCATTTTTGGCATATGTATTTATTAGAGGTGGATGAATCCGTCAGTTCCAGTTTCTCTCAGTTTCTCATTGATTTTCCCATCTTAAAATTCAGTTGTCCACATTTCCACAGTGATCTGCAATTGTTTTTGAATCCTCGTGTAAACCCACGAGTATATATCAGTGCAATTTCCTCCCTGAAGCGCACATTTTAAAAACACAACTTTGACTGATATGCACATTTGTGCAAGCAATTTCCCCAACGTAATGCGTCTTGGTATGTTCTTTTCACTAATGCATACATTGTTAATGCACGCATTGGCTGGAGAATGGCATTACAACATTCAGAGGAGAGCAAATTCTAAAGGACAATTGTGTTTGTGTATTTGTTCAGAAAGTGCAAATCGAATCGTTTATGATTAAAATGCAGACAAAATTAAATTTCTCCCCCATCCTTACTTGCTACTTTGGACCATTTTATTTATTTATTTTTGTGGGGGGAAAAAGAGAAATTTCTTTCCCCAGGAGTCCATTATTTCTACTGTCTCAACCCCCCTACTGGACCACAACTCCCAACAATCTCTTGCAGTCATCTGACAGCACCTTTTCACTTGCTAGGTAAACTCCTTCCACAGCTAAACAGGGTCTCTTGCCGATTTGTATTTCTGCGCATGTCATTGACTTGATGTGTAATTAGAACTCCTGAAGCCTGTCTCATGCTTTAATTGCCCTGACAGGGGCCACAGCATATCCGCTTGTTAATTAGTAAACCACAGTCTCCCAGGGGCTCATTGAGAGCTGCCT